TTTATGTCACTGGAGAAAGTGAATCCTTAATTCCTTATTAAAATATTTCAAGCACATTTTTTGTACGGAAAAGTGTAATATTTTGCATAATTTAGAACCTAATCGAATCGAACCGTGTAACGTAAATAAAAACTTATTAATAAAACGGATTATATTCCATTCTATTTAAATTTAAGAACCTATCTCGAAAATAATAATTATTAGGTATATATCATTATTTCAGTGAATTGGTCCTTCCGAACATCCAAAGCTGCAATGTCTTTGTCGTCCGTCTTCACTTTTGGAACTTTGAACAATTTTAACTCGTCGTAACTGCATCCAATCTTCTTTAACGAACTGTCATTGTGTAAATACCAAGTTGCCGGGCACAAACTTCGTCGTTATACATGCAGAATTCACGAATCACGACTTTATTGCGAGGGTATAAAGTCGATCGTGTATACATGTAGATTTTGACACATTTGTAAATTGAACTCTATTACTATCGTATTAAAGTTTATCAAGAGGTATATAAACAGAAGCACGCGTCGCCAGTTATCAATGCGCCCGCGCAGATATGGCACGCGCCGACAACGCGGCCCCTGTTTCTGCGGTAGCCGCACGAAACCAAGCTTTGTAGGGTGACTATGATTTGTATGTTGTGTAGGATTTTTGACTATAATTATTATACTAGTAATGACCCGCCATCGCTTCGCTTGACTGTAGGTTATAATTACATCACCACAAAATTTTCATGTTGCATTACGTTTAAAAATTCAGCCCTTAACAACAAGCATCGATGGTTCAGTGGTAGAAAGCTCGCCTGCTCTGCTACGCGAGCGATCCGGGTACGATTCCCAGTCGAGAAAAGACCTTGTTTTTTTATTTTTTTGTACTCGGGTTTTTATGATATATTATCATAGCAGCAGTATGATGCCCACTGCTGAGCATAGATCTCCATCCAGAGATCTCCACATCGATCGGTCCTGCGCTATTCGCTTCCAGCGTTGACTAACTCCGTGATAATGGCAATGGCACTAGCATCACTGCCGAAATGTAGACTCGCAAAAAAGTATAATGTTCAATGAGTCATCACTCATCAGTCAGTCACGTTTATAATTCTTTTGTATGTAGTAAATACATAGTGACTCACCTACTTTACGCTTCCTTGTAAACTATAGTTCTTTTTATTATTGTACAATATAATATAGACCTTCCGCTATCTAACTGGCAGTTAATAAAAACCGCACGAAAATCAGTTTACACTTTTTTTAGATAATGAACATTGACAGACATGTGCGGCGGAGGAATTTATTTAGTAAATATACAGTCTTTGATTATATACCCGCCTAGATAACGTATTAACTGCGTGGAAGCGGCAAAAAACTGTCTTCTACATATGGTAGTTTTGTTTGTCGCTACACACGCATATTGACTGCGCTTAAAACTGCGCACCTCGTTTCCCCCCAAAACATCTTAATTTTTACTTCTACGCAATAACGGTCAGCGCTACAGTTTTTGCCGCGACTTATAGTGTGCGTTATTATGAACATGAGCAAGATGCAATGACATAAATGTTCGTCGTTACGGTGGATGAGACAGATCTATTAATTGCTTCGCGGCTGATTTAGAACTCTGAAGACATTTATAATATCATTGAATTTGGTTAGAAAACATTTAATGATTTTACTGCCTCAAGATTTCCGTCTAACAGTGACAGTTATGCTAAGCACGACTACTGCCAATGAAATAAGAACTTGCCTCTATTAATCAATTTGTGGCGCCATGTAATGAATTTTCAGCTGGCAGTAAATATGAGAGTTACGTTGCTGAACGATCAATCTACAGAAGATTCCTCCAAATAATTGCTAATTATGGTAAAAGCTATGTTCCTCTCGAACGGATAGCTTCCATTTCTTCCTAATTATTGTAAGCGGGACTTAGTAAGCCGGGTCAGATAGTTTATAATATTTCATACATTGCCTAGACGTCCCAGCCATTCTATACATAGCCAAGGTATTGTATAGAATACCTGAATATACAGATTGCCGTTGACATATACATTTCCACGCATTATTTTCGTTGCACGATGAAATCGCACTGTATCGTCGTATAATCGCTGCCAATTAGAACGACGCCTTACACTACGAGACGAACAGTTCTTTGACAAGCTACTAAAAAAAGAAGTGTTCATTATGAGTGTGTCATAAATAACTTAGTAAAAGGGAATTTGCTAAAACTTAGTTCCACCAATAATTAAATATATTGTAATTTCCATATTTATAAATTTATTGTCATTATTAAATTATGCAGACCTTCCCACACTACTGTGCGTTAAGGAAATCTGACACATCTAAAAACAATTTTGGTTACCCTACATTTTTAAGTTAACATGCAAATAAATATGCGGCACCTAATATGATCCTTGTGAGTGCAGTACAAGGTTTACATTGGAATGTTTCGATTGATATGTTATCTGCTGTATGGTATTCAAACCTTGTATGAATTACATTACAACGCACAGTGCCCACGCACATTTATAGGCACTACGTACAATATAATCGATTGATCTATTTTGATTTAATGTCATACATTATTTATTCAGCGTACACGTATTGTAAGGAATACATAAGCTCAATGACTTATGCTTAGTTCTTGCCACTTACGCTGGTACACTGCATGTAAACGTGCTGAATTAGTAAAAGTACCAACCAACGGGTTGCACTCCGGGAGTGCCGTCAGAAGTGAAAACGTGAATATCAAAGTTGTGCATTTTTGATATTTTGGAATAGTTAGGGAATAATTTTACACGAATTGCTTAAATTATCAGTATAAAAGTACTATCATGTATGTGATAGAATACAATATTTATTTATTACGCTATCGTACACAAAAATGACAATTTATATTACATTAAAAAAGTTTATCTCTCATAAAAATCAACTTATATGAATCACGTTTACGCGCATTTAGCGACATCAATTGTAAAGAAATCAACTTACATGAATCACATTTAAGCGCACCTAGCGACATCTATTGCAAAAAAAATGCATTTTCTTCGCAATAAAGCTGCCACGTGGACGTCCTAGATAGAGACTTAGTATGTTTCGTCCAATATATTGAAAGTTAACAACCTTTCCAATTATATTGTGTCATGATGCGATCAGCCCACTTGTTTAACCTCACGCGAGTTTAACATTTTTTACCCATACAAAAAAAAAGTGTACAACACCACTAAAGAAGTTTTCACTTCAAAAAACATGTTTATTTTAGTAAACGTTCATTAATGCTACTACTACTTAGCACTTTTCTGTTACTAATCCTGTAAACAGTCACGGCAAGTTAGTGGATAGTTACGTACATGAAATCGTATGAACACAATTTCAAGCTCACGTGTGTCACCAATATTTGTTGTTTTTCTTCGTATATTTGGTTTCTCATTCTTTTCCATTATATTCTAAACTTCTGTCTCGGTCTCAGTCTGTTGGACAGTTACGACTACTTTCTGGGATACAGGCACCCAGTGATGATGATGACTGATGAATAATTAATGCGGTAGTATCATTAAATATATTCTGACTGATATAAAGAAGAATTTGACGATAAGTAGAAAAAAGAAACTCGTTATCAAGAACCTCATTACACAAATTGCATAACCTTGGCAAAGGTCGCAAAAGAGGCAGTTCTTTTATTACTACTGCAGATAAATTTCCGCCAAGTCAGCTTATCAAACTCGTTGACCCGATTTCTGCGTGAGGAAAATCGCAAGTCCCCGGGCCTCGGGCCGCTACTCTGGTTATGTAACGGGCTCCGCAACGTCGGCAGACGCCTCGCAGACGGCGCCGGACCGGCTGGCGCCTAGAGAGAGACGGCGAGAAGGTGCTCTCGCTCTACCCAAGACTGTTGGCGCCCAACGTGTGGTTGGCGGTCCTTCGACACATCGACTTCTGAGGGGTGTCCTTCTTTATGGCCCTTTGATTTGACTAAATTTATCGCACGATAAAAAATATTATTAATACTCGTGTCGTGTAAACTTTTTATCTCCTAAGATTTATGCGAGTGATCGGCAATAAAAATTTAATACGACTCTTTGTAGGTATCGATGATCTTGTCTTGTGCTGTGGCAATTTCTTTTCCCCTATTCGTAATAAGATTTCGATATAGATGCGAATTGTAATAACGGCGATACAATCATTAGGTATCTTGTTATTGGAGCCCAACATGGTACTGCAATACATTTTGACAAAGTTTTGTCTCGTGGAACAAACCTGCCTAGATGTTGTATCGACTGGTACTTTTTTCTTAGATTAATCAACGTTTACTTATAAACTCTTCATATTATAATACAAAAAGTATTAAAAAACCTCCATTTAACGCCAGTATAATTTCTGAGTGTCAAGTTTTTTTTTTATAAATACTTGTTTCTTAGGTTTTCACGCACATCACTCATTAAATAAAACTAGTTTGAACGGGTTAATGCACGAAACTTTATTTATTTATTGTCGTTTCGCAGCCTTTTCAGGTCTGCTTCGTCAGATTTTTATTTTTTATTATTTTTTTTTATAAAAATCATTCTGACGAAGCAGACCTAAAAAGGCTGCGAAACGTCAATAATTAAATAAAGTTTCGTGCATTAACCCGTTAAAACTAGTTTTATTTATATTTATAAATACTTGTTTATAATGAATGACGCACAAATTATATGCATAAAGTTTAATGTCAAGAACTTAAAATCTGGCAATGCCAACGCATGCTATCTATTGAAATCAATCAATTTAATAAAAATAAAATGCTACATTTTTTATTTTTAATCATGTTACTGCTAAATGTTTAAAACTAAAAAAAAAATACTGTGAAAAAATCCACGCGGACCAGTACCGTCTATTGCCTAGTCCGGGTGTTTTTTTTTCTAGAAAATTTTGCTTTCCAATAAAATGTGTTTATTATATTTTAACCGCGTGGAATTTGTTTTACTAAAATTTCTTGGCATATATAATTATAAATATTTTGTTTTGTTCTCAGGTATAAGGACTGCAATGTGAAATAGACAAACCAAAACGAACGCCAAAACGAGTGCCTTAAATTAGCAGTTAAACAAGTGCCTAAATAGATATTAGAGCAACAAGAAGACGAACGATTGAAACGCTGACGAAAACGAAATTATTCAATAAGGTGAGTAAATTAAAAATATTTATTTGAAATCTATATCTATCTATATATATAAAACTCAAAGGTGACTGACTGACTGACATAGTGATCTATCAACGCACAGCCCAAACCACTGGACGGATCGGGCTGAAATTTGGCATGCAGGTAGATGTTATGACGTAGGCATCCGCTAAGAAAGGATTTTGATCAATCCTTCCCCCAAGGGGATAAAATAGGGAATGAAAGTTTGTATGAAACTTTGTTAATTTTAAACCGATCGGGCTAAGACTTTGCATGCAGGTATAAGAAGAATCATAGATGAATGTCATTGTGTATAATACAAGCCTGAGAACAAAAACTGTAGTCTACACTTCAACTCTACACCGAAGCGAAGCGAGGGCGGGCCGCTAGTTTTGTTATAAATATGTCTCTTTGAACGTGATTCAGTTGGATATAGGGAGTGTTCAGAGTGTTTTGAGCATCCCCGAATCTGAAGCCGCATTTTATCCACTTGTGTAGTTTAGTGGAATGCTGCCAGTAAATTACACAAGTACGAAATCTAATGTAATAATTGAGGCCATGAGAACCAAAGTGGCCTAACTCATTTTTTAACCATAGTGGCCTATCTTACTTAGGCCAGTATGGCACCTAAAATTTAGATCACAGACTAAAAACCGTAATAGTGATTATGCTGCCATCTAGTGAATATTCGTTGTATCACTTAGACCACTCTGGTTCTATCAAAATGATCAATTTGAACTGGAAAAAATCATAATATTGTAAAAAATGAGTTAGGCCACTATGGTTCTCATGGCCTTAATTCTTAATTAAGTGGTTCAGTACTCGTTAGTTTGTTTCGATGGAGCTGTCATGTCATCGGACATATCTCCAAAACAAAAAATATAAAAAAAAAATTTAGACATACAAGCAAATCTATATTAAATATGATAGCAATCATAACTACGCGGTCTACAATAGTATTTTGTATGAAACATCTAAAATAAGTTTCATTAACAAAATCTTCAATTTGACATTAATGGAATTTCGGTGGTCATTGATACAACAAATAATTTTTTCGTACAATGTTATCATCCAAATCCGTGAACCACAATTCAAAGATGCCAAATGAAAGGATTACTTTTAAATTTCACATTTTGTATAATTCCATTTCTAACGCAAAAAAAGTCCATAACAGTTACTTTAATCAAACTTGAAAATAATTAGGCATTGTATTTTTTTTTCTCCAACGTAATGCCTAATAACTTTTAAAGGCATGAAATATTGAATATTCAGTTCCAGCTAGCTCTACGCCCGTTTAGATTTTTTTTCTCAAGCCTGTTTGTGGGGTGAGGTTGTCCGATCACATTTATTTTCTTTGTATCCCAATGGGGGGTCCGTGTTCGCGTAAGTGTAGACGATTTGGCGAATATAAAAAAAATGTTTGTATACTTTTTGCTCCTGGGTTTGCGTTTTCTTTTCTGTCCCGTGAAGTAGAAAATTTTGTTTTTTTTTATTCGAAGCGTATTGTGGTCTCCTGCTGAGTATCTACGAAGGCAGTATGTTGAATAAATAAATAGCACGGAATAAGGTGGGTCTAGAAAAGTGGTGGTCGCTGGAATCAATCGATGTGGTCCGCAAAGCCATTCGAAAAAATAATAAGAATGCAGAGTATATTACCTCCAAACGATATAATTGAATTAATTAAGTCAAGGCTTCATGGTGTCGCCAACTCGAGAGGTCCCGGGTTCGAATCCCGGTGGGGGCGGATGTTTGTGTGATGAATACGAGCATTTGTACACCAGTCAGGTATCAAAATTAAGGGTATGTAAATATACTTATATATGTGCAGTTTATGTACTCTATCCGTTACCCTAGTATCCCATAACACAAACCTTACAGTGCTTACTTTGGGGCTAGCCTAATTGGTGAGTTTTGGGAATATTTATTTATTTATTATTATTTAATTAATTAAAGGTGCAATAAGTAAGTGTATTTTAAAATACGCTCAATGGTTGGTGGTCCGTGGCAAGACGATTTTAAAGAATAAAAAAAATCGCCAAGACGATATTTTTACAAAGGGTCGCTAATCTTAAAATGTTAAGAAGTTTGTCTACAGTACCGATAAGTTGACAGGCCATCACTTGTCAACAGTTCATGTCTAAACTCTAACCTTTGTAAAAGGCCTTCGCTATCCCCATCACGGAAAAGTTAATTAGTCATATTCAAGTTTGTCTGAACCAGATTGTAACGATAGCTACATTGCAACAAAAACTTAAGTCTGAGGTACAAATAAAAAACCTATAAATTTATATAAAAACTCATCGTACCCCTAAAAAATTTGCTAATATTTCCATGTTTTTTGGGAATTGATTTTTTTATGCACGGAACACTCATATTTCTTCCAGATTCCGTAATATATGTTTTAGATCCATTATCAAGAATCCACATAACAAGTTCTGGTTAGTTCATCACACTAATATCATAAAGGCGAAAGTTTGTGAGTGTATATGTTTGTTACTTCTTCACGTCTAAACGGCTGGAGTGATATTAATAAAATTTGGTATGGAGTTAGCTGACAGGATTAACACATACGCTACGTTTTACTGCGGGAAAATATCCCAAATAAACCGCGGGTAATACCGCCGGGCACAGCTAGTTACTAAATATATGGCGTTGAGTTTGTTTATTATCATAATGGATCTGTCATGCCTATTGATTGAGTAAACGAATGCTCATGCATCTAATTGACATTCCATCACCGAGCTATTTGCCTTTAAAGAGTTGTTGATACTATCAAAACATCATCCAATTAATGTAAACACTCGTGTTGAGCTCGAGTGGCGCCCCATATGCAAGATAAACTTTAAATTTTCAATTTCAAACTACAACAATACTTCTAATAACATTTGCTTAGATTTCAGACCTCTATGATAATATAGTAGATATTTTTTTATTTTGCTTTTTGTTGCTTATACATATCGAAAAGTAGTTTGTCATGTTATCTGTGCTTCTATTTTGTTAGTACTGCGAAAATCTCACAGTAAAAAAAAATTTAATTGCCACAATATATTTGAATGTGGTGTCGGTAAAATACTGTAGTTGTTAGACCTCTGAGGTCATATTTTGTAATTTTGTCCGGGGCGCTGCTTAGTTCTCATAGAAACTTTGACGATACGATTACGGAGCTGTCAAAATTCGTGCTTAGGCTTCTGTTAACTTCTGAGCCTTAAATTAATTTTAATTATTTAGGCACAGACTGCAAAACTGTTGTAATGACTGGAATATTGCCATTTCCATTGTAAAAGAAATTGCACAAAAATTCCTTAAAAAAGGGTATCCAGAAAAAAAAAACTATCAAAGCTGCAAGCAACTTAATTCTTAATCTGTATTCGGAACACAATCGGCGGCTATATAGCGCTCGCATCAACTCAATTTGTATCAATTGAACTGTCAACATAGCCGGGTTGTAGCGTTGGCAAAACAAAACGTAACCCTTCCCGTCCGCGCGCATTACTTCTGTACCGTCGCCCGGCGCACTCCGCTGCGCAAATATTCATATTAATTGCCCGCATTTCGGGGTTAACTCTGCTCCTTCAAAAACGCAAAGGGTGAATCTTTAAGCCAGCACCGCAAGACCCAAAATCCCCTGACACACGTTTAGTGTGTCAATCAATGCTCTTTTGTGGAATAAAGTGGCCACAGGTGTATTGTTAACACCCCGAAAAGGGTCCCGTTTTTACTATTCGCATGTTTGTTCCTTTCCCATCTCATACTATGGACTTCGCCCGGACAACTCTCGGATCGCTAGCTTAATGGCATAAATTAATGACCAGACTTTTATTGGTCTTCATAAAAGTATTCGCAGCAATCTCGTCATAGTGGTGGAGATTAATAACTCTGAAGTACCGAGCGGAGCTTTGCCCCGATACAAGGGAATCAATAAACAAAATCACGAGCGCCGGAAATCCGAGCGGAGTCCGAGATGCATTTCCATCTTTCACCGTCTTTTCACCCTCCGAAAATCATCCCTAAACTTGGTTCCCCGTCTCATGCTCTCGTGAGGGTGCGAAGGGGACGGGTAAAGGGTAGAGCGCATGCGCGGAACAACCCCTCATGAGATGCGGCGAGCGTTGATAGTGGCAGGCGCGGGATCCTGGCGTGTTGCTGGGGTCGCCAACATTCCTCCGTGGATCGTCCGCGGAGGCGGAGGTCCCGCTCTCTCACCCCCGGTTCAAAAACCTACAGCCACTGCACCGGCACATTTGCCTCCTTCTGCACTTAGATCTTTCAAAAACCCTGGGCCTCACACAAGTAGCAACTCTCCCATATACCTACGAAAATTAGTCAGTTTTAAACAACCTTCCGTATCGAGTTACCTTTTGTTGCTAATCTTCAAAGCAGACTCTAAATTAACAATTGAAATTAAACCAGGGTGTGGGAGAGCGAGAGGACAGTAAACTCTTTAAAGTGGGAACGAGACGACACAATGGCTCGCCGCTCCCGGTTGAGGTAAGTGCCACTTTAGCCACGTGCTCGGGAAACTTTCAGTTTTCAGTTTTCGGTGGTTCATGAAACTCGTTGTTCAGTTCTATTTGTTCCATTGTTTCTGCAAAAGCCCTTGTTACTTTCCGAGGTTTATTGTGAGTGTTAATGTTCACTACGTTTTGGCATTATTAAATCCACTTTATTGAAATTTACTATGAGTTCGTAGTTAGCATTTCTCTCATTATTCAAAGTTACTACCGCTTCACAAACTTAATTTGGGTCATCAAAGAACATTCTGCTATTAATACGGCTAGAATCTATTATCAAGTTAATTAATTGACTGTTAATTTGGAAATCATTAATAAAGCATGCTTTTATTGGTAAGTTCGAAAAGTTTTGTAAGATTTATCGTGTTATGCTCATGTTAAAGTAAGATGAGCCTTTTCGATCATCGTTTCTCAAGTTATCTAAAATAACAATATATTCATTACTCTATCCTTTGAACGTGTAGTAATCACGTTTGTAAACATTTGACATTT